TATTACAGTTTTTTTAATTTTGAATTAATTGAAGACCTTGCAATAGAATTCCCTCCAAGTGATGAGTTACAGCTAAAGCTTGACCAATACGTGCAAGAATTGGAACAGTTCAAAAAATCAACTGCACTACAAGATATGAAGAATGCAATAAAGCGAGTACCTCTACCACATGATGCCTCAGAAGCACATTGTAAAATTGTCATTAAATTGACTGGCAGCTGGAGTAATAAAACAGTTAACCGTCTTGAAAATCTCATTCAGTATCTTTTTAAACGTGATGCAAAGCGTGCCAAACTGATTAAAATTGATGATGGATCAATTGTTGTTACATTTCTGGCTCTTTCAACAGCTCAATCTCTTATTGACAAAGTACAGAATAAGATGCAATTTATCCAGTATCTTGGCATGTTTGAAATAATAATTCACAATGAAGTTATTATTAGTAGAGAGGAAGATGTGAACTTCACTTTTGAAGATTCACTTTTACATGCCATCAGTCACATTGACAGTGATGATGCAGAATATGAGAGAGTGGCACAGTGCCTACTTCTGATAGAACTTAAAATAAAGCTAAATTACAAAAACACTGATGGTCAGACTGCATTAATGCTAGCCAGTGAAGGTGGACACATTAAAATTTTCAAATCATTACTACAAAACGGTGCCGATCCATTTGTACAACTACCAGCCAATAAAGGATACATTGGGTTGAACCATTTAGCATGTACTGCTCTCTCTGAGCACATACACAAATCAATTGGAGGAAAAAGAATTAATCCACAAGATGACACTTCAATTAGAGAGATGCTGGAAATGGCTGTTAAAGAAAGAGGAGTGAGTAGTCATTTTTATGATTCATTTGTGCATGTCGTTGAAAATAAAATAAAAGAAAAGTTTCAACGACTGCAAGATTGTTTTCATGCATTAAATTGTAGCTTCATTGATGCTGCCACCAATATTTTAACCAGCAAAGCCTTGGTAACAGAAGCAAAACAATACTTTCAATTATACATCAAAGAAGATGTTACTTGTGAAAATGCTCATCAACTAGTGCAGTTGCTCCAGCCTCATTACTCATGTTTAAACATTAATCTTCTCACAATACCATGTACTATCACAGAGCCTATCAAGGAACAGGTAGAAGAATACAATACTAACCTGAAGATGTTCAAAGATACCACTAGCCTACTGGAGCTAGCAATGATGACCAAAGGAATGCAATGTCCTGATGATGTTAGCTGTTCAAAATTAACTTTAAGACTCAACAAGCCATGGTGCTCTAGGACAATCACTGGATTAAATAAAATAGAAAAAATTTACTTATCACCTATTTTATTGTCCGTAAACCTCACAAAAGCTCATTATGATGCCTCCAGCTTTAATTGTACATATTTCTTCCCTCAATCATCACAAACTGAATCATTAATAGAAGCAGTTTCTCAACAGAGCTCTTTTCTATATGCAACTGGTATATTTGAAGTTATGATTGATGATATTCCTATCATGATGGAAGAAAAGAACGAGTCATTTACATTTGAGGCTGCATTGCAGGAACTAATTAATTTACCTCTCGAAAATGGTAACACTGCCCTAATTCTTGCTAGTGAAAAAGGAGATTTCTTGTCGGTTCAATTTTTACTCAGTAAAGATCCAGATATTAACGTTCAAAATAATGATGGATTTACTGCTTTGATGGCTGCTAGTGCTAATGGACATCACCAGGTTGTTGAACTATTACTAAGTAAAGACCCAGATATGAACATCCAGGATATTAATGAATTAACTGCTTTGATAATTGCTAGTGCCACTAGACATCAACAGGTTGTCAAACTCTTACTGAGTAAAGATCCAGATATGAACATTCAAGACAAAAATGGATTAACTGCTTTGATGATTGCTAGTTCCAATGGAGATCACCAGGTGGTTGAACTATTACTAAGTAAAGATCCAGATATGAACATTCAAGATAAAAATGGAGTGACTGCTTTGATGTTTGCTACTGTCAATGGACATCACCAGATTGCTGAACTATTAATGAGTAAAGATCCAGATATTAACATTCAAAATTATAATGGAGTGACTGCTTTGATACTTGCTAGTCACTTTGCATATTACCAAACTGTTGAACTCTTACTCAGTATTAAGGATCTAGATATTAATATTCAAAACAAAAATGGATCAACTGCATTGATGGCTGCTAGTGCCAATGGACATCACCAGGTTGTTGAACTACTACTGAGTAAAGATCCAGATATTAACATTCAAGGTAATAATGGAGAGACTGCTTTGATGCTTGCTAGTCACAATGGACATCACCAGGTTGTTGAACTACTACTGAGTAAAGATCCAGATATTAACATTAAAAATAATGATGGATGGACTGCTTTGATGTATGCTAGTCTCAATGGGCATGACCAGGTTGTCAAACTCTTACTGAGTAAAGATCCAGATATTAACATTCAAAATAATGATGGATGGACTGCTTTGATTTTCTCTATTATCAATAATCATCACCAGGTTTTTGAGCTCTTACTGAGTAAGGATCCTGATATTAACATTCAAGATAATAATGGAGGGACTGCTTTGATGTTTGCCAGTTGCTTTGGATATTACCAAATTGTTGAACTATTACTCAATAAGGATCCAGATATTAATATTAAAAACAAGGATGGTTACAGTGCAACCGTCTTTCTTTTACTTTCCTCTAGTTTAATGATAACTAAGTTGTTTGGTGGCATACAATTCCTTGATAAGTTACACTCTAGTAACTTTGTTAAAGCATTAGAGCTTTTACTTGACTCTCATCCTATTCATATTCACAGTGTTGGTGACATAAAGCTTCATTCATTAGCAGTGGCAGCACTGTCCAATAATTTTGATGCAGTTACAATTTTGATGAAGAAATGTGACATCACACCAGAGCACATCATTAGTGCTTTTACTCTGGCATCTTATGGAGGTCATTCGTCTATGATACTTCACTTGTCTGAGAAAATAACCACTGTTTCAAATAACGAGAGAAAATTATTAGTAGCAGCTGCTGAAGGAGATTTAGGAGCACTAATTAGTATGATTTATGAAGTTGGTATGAGTCCAGATACTCCACTGGTAGCTGGTATAACTCCATTAATGATAGCAGCTTCATGTGGACACATTGAACTAGTTGATATATTAATACAAGCTGGAGCTGATGTTAACAAAAGAAATGATGAAGGAATAAATGCACTGGATATAGTGAATAATATTGAGTTTCGTGATCGATCTGATATTAAAGAGCTGCTAATTACTAACACTCCAGCTGGTGAACCAGATCCAGTGTCAAACGATGATTTGATTAATGAGAAATCCAGTACTGTTACTATATCAATAAAGTCAATATTTCGCACATTTAAATCATTTATGACAAAAGCTTACAATCCTACTTATGCGAAACAAAAAGAAATGAAGATATCTTCGAAGTCTGGAATAACTGATAGACCATACTCAGCAATGACAAGTAATACACCACAGTTCGTGTGTTAATTATGATTGTTTGACTGTCTATAGTTATTGCACTTTAATTAATTCATGTACTTATAGAGAACATGAAAATGTGTGTTTACTTTTGAACTTATAGCTGATTAAAGCTAATAATATTAGCTGATTAATAGTCTATTACTAGTATTTTTTTAATTTTTGTGCTGAAGAGTTAATTTGATTGCTATTAATAAAAATTAAAATTAAACCTACATGTATCATCTATCAATGTACATGTACTTCATAGAATACATGTACATTATGATTAATGTTAAGATTCTGTTCCTCCACTTCTTGTTATTCTTTGAATACTTTCAAGTGCATCAATAGCCTCCAGTGAACTCTCACATACACTATCAAACTTATCCTGCAACTAATAACAACAATAGTAATACAAGCAGTAAAAGTATAACAGACACACATGTAGCTAATGTGATTATATCATTATACATGCATGTACATGTACACCAAAGTAAAGGTTTTTATGGAATTAGAAGTCTGCTATTACATGTACAGTATATGTATGTACTGTAAAAGTTTATTTTTGGTAGCTTTTGAACTTTTGAGTTTTACATGCATACCTGGAATTTTAGAATAATATGCTACTCATTTTAGTAAATTCCATACATGTAGAAGAAACCTCTACCTTGTATACATGTGCATGTAAATGCATGTTTATTCTTGACAGCTGCTGAACTGTCTTTAAATGCCGTAGCCTAGGCCTGGACCATC